TTCACAAACATGTTCATTTGAATTAAAAAGCAATTTTCTCGTTGATAATTGACTCGAATCGTTTATTTATTTACTTTGTTGAATTGTTTTATTAAGTTCTAATGAAAATTAAAAAAAAAACAACATAAAAATAAAGAAAACAAAATAATAAATGAAATGTTAGGAAAAACAAATGAAAAGTAAGTAAAAATAAAGGAAGGGAAACTGCATCCATCTTGTTGTTCGAAGCGAAAAGTGCTTATGCTTTTCAATTTATTCATTTATTTATCTCCGACGAATGGATTTATGTTACAATGTTATTAGTAAAATGAGTTTGTTATTGAAGTTTGGTTGTTATTTCCAGCTGCTTTCGTTTCAACAACGAAAAAAAAAACAACATTGTCTACGTTGACCAATTTTACGTATCGTGGATCCGGTAATGCGAGAAACTATAATTAATCTAATCTAATTTGACCTCAGGCTGATGTAACCTAACCTAATGTAACCTTAAAATTACGAATTTTATGTGGATATTTTACGGTTAGGTTATAATAACCTAAAGTAATAGTACTTTAGATTATTATATTATACGGTACTTATTCAAAGGAAGTCATAAACAATTTTCAATAATTCATAAAAACTAGAATTCCACTTTTACTAAGTAAATCTTAGTAACCTAATATAACCTTCTATTAGTTTAATATTTTCAATTAATATTTTTGTTACTTTTTACAGCTATTAATAGTAACAACAATTTAAAATAATTATAAAATAACAATTTTAAAATTATTCCAATAATATTTAAATTTATGTATGTTATACATGAAATAAGAAACAGTGAACAGTTTATTATATAGATAAAAACAAAGCCATAAATAACATATTTTATACATTTCTTACTAAATCTATAATATTTTATGAACAAATATAATATTTTTTAAATATTAAATGTTGGGTTCAGAAAATAGTTTAAAATATTATAATCCAATGTAAACCTAACCTAATATAACTATAGAAAAAACTAACAATGTAACCATATAATAACCTAAACTTTTCTTTACGTTATTATAATCTATATGTTAACCTAGCCATAAAATATTTTAACTTAGTACACGGTACTTATTCAAACGAAGTTATAAACTGGGAATAAGAATTTCTATCAACATGTTAGAAATTCTTACTCCCATGTTTAAATTCAAATTATAAAATCTATCTATTTTGAAATAATTCCAAAAATATTAAAATTGCCTCATATTTGTGTATGTTATACATGAAATAAGAAAAAAAAATAAGCGAACATTTATTATGTATATCCAAAAACAAAGCCATAAAGTAAAATATTTTATACATTTTTTTACAAAATCAATAATATTTTGTAAATAAATCTGATATATTAAAAAAAAAATCCTATTTTAAGATAATCGCTTAACATATCCTAATCTAATATAAACCTTATTTAATATAGCCTTACAGAAACCTAACGTAATTTAACATTAAAGTAAGCTAACCTAATATAACCTAATTCAATGTTACCTTAGAATAACCTGACCTACAGGTTGGAAAACTTTTGAGATGGAAAAGCCAATCTTGTCTCAATGAGAAAAGAGTAAAAAATATAAGAATGCTAATATATTTTTTTAACATATTACTTTTAAACATATTTGTTTTAATTTTCAATTTTATTTTTACGAGTTCGCGAGTCCTAACTTAATACAGCATTAAATTCAATAAATTTTCGAAATATTTCAATATTTTTTTTTGTGTATGATATTTGTGATTAAATTGAATGTAAGAAATTATAATATTAAAATACTTGACATAGCCTATCAACATTAATCAACAAAGAATTACCGAATATAGAAGCAACATATTTTAATCTATTGATTTTATCAATTGAAAGTTCTCCGGCAATAAGAAGACTGAACTGAAAAAAAAAATAGAATAGGATACAAAAATAAAACGGGTCGTGCTCTTAGCTAACAGCATTCCCTTTCACTAGTAATTCCCTTATCGGAAATGGCGTTTCGCCCTTCTTCGTTCGCTGTGAGAGGAAGAAGAGAGACGGAGAAATAAAGGACCTTCTTGAGTTGAAACGCGCCGCGGTAAAAAGGTGCAAACACAGATGGAAAGGAAACGAAAGGTAAACAGATATAAAGATGCAAAATCGGTTAAAAAAATAAAAAAAAACGTAGTTTATTATTATTTAGTTACAGGTTGTTGATTGGTGGCGCTACTGCCACGTATTTTTAAATGCCATCAATCAAAGGAGTTGTCATGGCAACAAAGTAACAAAGTACATGTGAAGTGTCGTTAATGTCAAATTATATTCAAATTAGATTTCTCCATTCTAATAGCAAATCGCAATACACCCGTGAGTGCGACTTTGAGGGAACAAAACATCAAAGATTTTTTTAAAATAAACCGTTTATTCGTACAAGAAGTTTTGCGAAGAAATACAAAAAGTTAGTTTTTTTCAGTAAACTTTACGTTCCGCTTCGAAAATAGAGATCAACCGGTTTGTTAGTTGGACCATATTGTTTTGACAGATCAACGCCCACACACCGCATGCCGCCGGTGCCGCGGAATGCGGTGCTGCGAAAACACAATATTGCAATTTCGAAAATACGGAACGGAAATGTGCGTTTGCGGAAAATAATTGGAAGACAGTTTTCTGCTGACTTACCGGTTTTCCGGGCGCGCCGGGTTGTTCTCTCGACGTTCGTCGGCAAAAGTACGAAGGAAAATATTTCGAAGAGAGACGACCGTAGGCACGGCTCTCTGAGCACACGTTACGAACGTTCAGTGGAATCACACGCAACCACCATATTTGTTTGTATCGATTCGAGCGTTGCCCTTCGCAAGAACTGAACACAGATGGAGACACCGATCGCAGCTGTCAGATAGCGAACTGTAACCTATTAGATATTTGAAATTCAAATGTACACCGGCTCAAATCTCATCGAAATCATTGAGAGCAATGTTAATAAGAAAATTTGAAAGACCAATATGAAATAAACTATTTCTCGTAATGAATTGATGTCTATTATTTACCAACAATTGATTAAAATGTCTTAACAAATAATTTGCAAACTCTATATTATTGAATTAGAATACACCAAATCAATAATTTATTTAATCTTTCTACTTTGCAATACAGGTATCACCCGACTTACGAACTCCCGGACTTACAAACAAAATTCTAAAAGCTCTAACTTGTTACAAGGAGATATATAGTGATAAAAAAAATAACTGTCCAAACAATAATTGATAATTTATTTAATAAAATATAATATTTTTGGAAGATGTACTATCTGTTTTGTTGCTTTTATTTATTTTGTCGTTTTTATTAAATAATTGTGATGCTAACATTGAAAAGTATTTGTAAGTAAATATTTTGTTTATTTCAATCTATTTTTTCAATTGTATGCAGTCAGTAATACAGAATTTAACATATATAAAAGTAAAAACCATGATGAACCATGACGAATAACCCTTTGAAACGGAAAGTTTGTAAGTTGGGTGATATTTCGATATTATTAATTTAATCATTAAACATATATTTTTACTTTACAACTTAATTTGAATATAAATTCATAAAAATGTTTATTTTAACTATCTATTACATAATATATACATTAATATAAAAGTATTGTACTTTAATATTATTTACTTTGTATTCACTGAATTTATATTTGGTTTAATATGTTTGCCAAGTTTGAAATCATTAAATTAGAGTCATTTAATAACTAATATATTAATTAGCAAATATCGTATGATATGTAGCTAGTAAATAGATATAAAATATACGGTGGCAATCGCAAGCCCGACAACCGAAATACCGTCAATCAAATTCCGGACGTTCGAAATCCCAACGTTTGAAATCCCGAGTACTATATCAAAATCCCGACTATATTAAAATCCCGACAACCATAATCCCGACTATATCGAAAATGTCTACAATAACATTTTTAAATTATTAAATTATTATTTTAAATTGTTATTAATAATAAATAATAACAATTAATAATCTAATTGTATTTGAGATTATTTCATAATGTTAAGGTTTATTATGAAAAATTCAACAAAATCAAATAAATTAATAATAATTTATTGTTATTAATAATAGAAGTGCAGCACAAGGTGACTACGCTCCAAAATAATTTAAAAATGTTATTGTAATTTTTTTTTGATATAGTCGGGATTATGTTTGTTGAGATTATGGTTGTCGAGATTTCGAACATCGGGATTTCAATAGACGGTCTATCGGATGTCGGGCTTGCGATTTAGACCCTAAAATATCATTAGATTTGAAACTTTAAATTTCTGTTCACAGTGACATCTGTTCTTATACATCTGAAAGTTATCTTAATATAGGCAACTTCATATACTAGTACAGTAGAAACCATTAAAGAGCATATCAAGAATATTCTATTAATTAGATAATTTTATCTTTAACTGTATTAACTAACAGTTTAAATTGATATTTAAATTAATTATGATGCCAATTAATTGAATATACCAATTTAGAAAAACAAATAGTTAAGTTAAATAGTTTTTCTATTCATATCTTGGAGATTACATGGCATTAGGAATTAGAGGATTGGATGGTTACAAATAAAACTTGCAAATTTGTAGTTTTTTTTTTAATATTTTCTTATTTATTTATAAAGAAACAGTTGGAAAGTCTTATTATTATATATTTTTTTAGGTTGTTTTCCATTTTTTGAATTTTTTCTTTCAATTTTCATTCCAATAAAACATTATTTTTACACCTCCATAAAACACAAAGAAAAAGTATCAACAGAAACTTAACGATTAGATTGTTTGCTCTCTCTTTCTTTCTCTCCTTTTTTATATATATATTTAAATATAACATATAATATGTATAGGAATATTTGTTTTCATATATTTTTTTTACAATAATTTAAACCTCTAACAACGAATAACAACGGAATCGTGAATTCAGAGAGATCCAAAAAATAAATTAAAGGAAAAAAAACAATAGAAAGAATGCAAGTATATGTACAATGAGTGTGAAAGGAAAATTAAACACATTCGATTATTTACGTGTGTCATCGTTTTTGAAATATTGGCAGTTTAATTTGTATTTTGTTGCGTCGGTGAAGAGCATACTCATGCGACGAATCACGTAATCGGAGGTCTACTATAATTTTCAGAACTGATCAAAGTTGCTTAATCTGAAATTTGTTTTATTACTTTAGTTACAGTTCTTTAATTATACGAGTTTACATTTTTTTTTCAATTTTGTTTAGAAAAAAAAAATTGTATGGTCTAAGACTTTCGTCTTAATTATTAGTTAATAGTATTAGTTCGTCCACATATATACTTTACTTCTTCTTCTTCTTTCAGTTACAATTGTTTTTTGTTCGTACGTTAATAAATACGTGTATATTTTATAAAAGATTCGCATTCGCCACGATCGCATTCAACTAACATTATATGTACAGGGAAATTGTTACAAGAAAATTTACAAAAATCGAACGCGATTGGAATCGATCTAAGTGTATCAACTAATTTATTTACAACCGATGAGCCGAGGTGATTCAATGGAATTCCATTTTGCGCGATGAATAGATGCAATCTCGCGTGGGGAAAATTGAGACGATTTCGTGCAATTTGTTTAACCCTAGGAAACTTGAAATCGAATATTGCGATGTTAATCTTGGCACGGCAATGTTCTCCCTTTGACGCATCGTGCATCGAATTCTAGAGATTAATTGAAATTATGGAATCGAGAATCACACTGTATACACGATGACGTAGGATGGGAAAGGAACATGTGTAGACTTTGAAAACGGAAATCGTGCTCGTATTTCAAGGGAGTCACGTTTATCTTTTCTTCTAACGTATTTTCTTGATATGGTTTCAATTGATTTAATCACGTGAACACGAAACCGCGCCGACCAATTGTTTAGATAATATAAATTGTCCTATTGAAACACTTTAGGTCCTTATGTAAGTTTCGGTTTGTTATATACAGATGACGCTGCGACATTTCACTTTACGTTAGTCACTGATTCACTATTGTTTTTTGTTAGTTTGAGGGTTTGCGATTGGTTAGCATTCAATGTAAAAGATGGCGCACGAGTCGAGTCCCTATAATTGCACGGAGACGAGATCGCAATCGAAGAGCTCGTGATCGGGAGTAATGTCGGGCTTCTGGGGCCGGCAGCACTCCCCGCCCGTATGCTATACAGAGATCTCTTGGATCTGGACCCGTTTCTTCATGGTTCCGGACGTCGGCGGGTTGCTGGACGTCCGGACCGGCGGTTGGGGCTTTTCCCTTTTACTGCTTCCGTCATGCTTCTGAAGAGTGTTGTAGCATGGAGGCTTCTCCTTGCGGTCGGAGACAAGCGGCGGTGACGATTGTCTGCATGTCGTCATGGGGATGCTCTCCGTGGATGAAGCCATCCTCGCCGGTTGCCTTCCTCCGTGGTTCTGCCGTCGTCTATCGCGTTCCCTCTGGTAATAGATCCCAGCGAAGATGAGCATGTTCAACACGAGCAGAAGACATCCCACTCCGACGGTCACCCCCAGAGCGGCGGTATAGCTGTAGTAGTGCCGCGTGGCCAGACGCTGTAGAAGCTCCGAATCCTCCGTGTCCGCAGTTTCCTCATCGTCTCCGACCACATCCAAATCCAGGAGTTGCTCATCGGGAGTGGTCTGCACGCATTCCGCTTCCTGATTGGCGTGCGGATCTGTCATGGACGCTGGGTGCAAAGGTGGCGGAAGACGCGTGAAAGATTCCGCTCGAACTGCGCCTAAAACACAAACACAATTAATCAAGCATTCTAAGTATAATGCTTATTTCATTATATTGTCAAATTACAGTTCAAATAACAAAATTTGTCAAGTTTGTAATTTATTGTATGTTCTGTCCGTTTTTTCCAAATTAACAACAGAAAATACATTAGTGACTCTAATGTATTCTCCTTTATTTTTCACATCTTCTTCACACAAAAAAATAAATAAAAAAGGTTAAAAAATTATAATAATTAATAGTTAATAATTAATAATTTTAAAACCATCGACGAGCTGTCCTTTCATTCATAGCATCTACACCGTTCACTACGCAAATATCGCGAACAGATTTGGAGATTTTGTTCCCTTGATTGAACGCGTCGAAGGTGTTAAAAGTGCTCACTTTTACTACATGTACAAAGTAATAATTGTAACATGAAAGCAAACACTATATCTTGTAGACAATTTTTTAACTGTTAGCGCGCATTTTTGAATTTGAAAAAGCGGACTTATGCAAATAACACCCAATATATAAACTAAATAGGTCATTCCATTTAGGTTAGTTTAAATTATATTGGGTATTAATTGAAAGTAATATAAATGCGGACGATGTTAAAAAAGAAGAGATTTTAACTAATGAGGTATGGATAGTAAAAAAAAGCTGTGTTAGAAAAATAAATGATTACTAACTTAAGTAAATAAATATTCCTTAGATCTTCAACAAATATAAATAATGAAGATTTAGTTAGTGTTCATTTTGGATACATTACAAACTTTGATAAAATGATAATTTATAAAGTTATTGTTCTAACAAAATTAATTTATACGAAACAATGAAAAAAACAAAAATCGAAGCAAAACAACTGGTGAACTGTGAATTGCAAATAAAAGGTCGTTAAACGCTTGCGTTTATTTGCACGCATCGAATTGATGCATTCGTTTGTTATTTGTATGCGGACCATAAAAGCAATTTGCGTATAAATGAAGCGACAATTAATTAATATAAAATGTAATTCCCCAAATGGAAACAAACGAATGTTGTATTTTATTTTGCGCCGAATGAATGACGTAATAAAATTTAAAATACAAAAGAAAAACTAACTGTATTGGAATATTTATACGTGTTCCATTTAAATTAGTTATTTGGATTTTGTATGAAATGCAATTGGTATATTTTTGTGCTGTGCTTGAAGTTGCATAATTTATCGTGCATCGACGATAGCGCCATCGAGTTGTTTCGTTGTTAATCTTATGATATTATATACGTGGAGTGTGAAAAATGATGCTTTACCAGCGTAATAATGGGGCTCCCTCTCGTGGAAATGATGATGTCTCATGCTGACGTCTTCATCGCCCGGCTGATGGAGCTGAGGAATTAAGTTCAGCCAGACGGCCATCTTGTGACCCCTATAATGGCTCCTCATCTTCGGCTTCAGCGCTGCAAAATTACACACATCGATGAAAAATTCATCACGACTTCGGAGCCATCGCCACCACTGCCGCCACCACCAACACCGGAGGAGGTGGTAGGGAAGATTGATAACGGGGTGCCGATGGAGGGATGAGGATGATGAAAAAAAAAGAAAAGGGAAATTTATCTGCCCGCATGCCCGTTTCTTCCGTGCGGGGCATTTGTCATTGTAAACAAGACACCGTCATCTTAAACAAATGGAAATAAAAAAGAAAGGCAGAGCAGGGCAGGACTGGGTGAAATTGATCGGGCAAAGAAAGTTCGATGGTTGAGCTCTCAGCTCTCTCTCTCGTCTTTGTTTATGGAGTCGATGGCCGATTTAAGCCTTGCAAAACCCCGGCGTTAAGTTGTTCCAGATTAATGGAGGAGAGAGGTCCTAAGTGGAAACACGCCGCGAGGGGGGAATGGAGTGGTTGTTGTTGGTAGGCCTGGACCCTCACAGTCCTTATTTATTAATATCCCACGCACACAACTACATCACCACCACTCCATCTCCTTGCTGCTGCCACCACCACCCTCAAACCCTAAACGCATCATCGCCGTAGCCTCGAGGAAATTTCCATAACGCCACCGCTAACATCAAATATTAACCCATTCAATGTGTATACAACCATATTTAAACATTTGCATACTTTGCGCTCCATACATATACACATATAACAATACTTGTGGGCGTGGAACGGATTTCATTTAAACGGACAGGGCTAATATCGCGCCGCCAACTTTCGCATAATGGAATAACTTTCCGTTCTGTTTATTGCATGCTGAAAACTTTCTCGGAAAATAATCGCCATCTATTGACACCTATTGCCATTTATAACGAGCCGCAGTTTAAACTACTGCAGCGATATTAAATTTCTTTCTACTTACGTCATTTTATTTTCTATAGATTCAGCTTATAATTACTTTAAGTATCGAAAGTTAGGCAATATTTCATTACACACCATTGGAATCTTATTTACACAACTTTACTTATATCCTCATTCCATTATACACAAATATTTCTAAACTAATTTGTAGTTTGGCTTGAGACAAATGTTACAAATATTAACTAAATAAAAATTATACAAAATATCGTAAATAATCAATTAAAAAAGATAATTTCAATAAAATTTAATTAATATTTTGGTTTTGCTAATTATAGTGTCGTCTACAAAATTAAACTAACAAATAACTTGTGAATGCATATTGGATCTAAGTAAAATTTTGTTTACGGATCTGAGGGTGAATGCAGAAGATATTAATATTGTAATTCGATTACGAAAATGTTTGTCGAGTTGGAAAATGTCGGTCGCGATGAATTATAGATGGAATTTAATTTCCCCGCAGACGAAAGAGGATGGAAGAAGAAGAAGATGCAAAAGTGAAAGAAGAACAGAAGGAAAAATGAACTTTTCCTTTCATCTGCCTCCCACGTCACCGTCAACTTAGATTGCCTCCGGATTCCGGATTCGTTTCGGATTTCGCTTCTTGTTTTGTTCGATCGGAAATAATGAAAGCGAATAATTCGGAACTGATGGAAATCGAATTTAAAATTCCATCAGTGCGTTATTATAGCGTGGAATCTTCTAGTGGGCTTGGGGCGAAAGGGAAAGCGTGCTTGCATACGCGGAAAACAAACGTTACGCCATCTGTCGTCGCATTCCGTACCTCCCAGAGGACCTATTCCGCTTCTGTCTTCGAGTTTAATCCGGCTAATAATAATAATTTAACTTTTTATAGAAAATGTCGAGGCTTATGCGTTTAATCTTATTAAACGTTGGAGAGAATTAAACGTTGGCGCTGTTAGGGGAGACGACGATATAATAAACATAAACGGGCCTAAACTTAATCAGCTTACGGCGCGACCAGACAATGCATTGTTATCTAAACGTGTCGACACCCCGGACCGCCTTCCGCCGCTCACCCCGAACGCTACCAATTCCGGCAGTTGTATAGGTGCGTTCATCCAGCTGGAAATTAACTTTGGAAGAGGGAAAAATCCAATTTCGAACACCTGAGCTTAAATTGGGCCATTAAAAGTGTTAATTGGGTGGCATAACTATTGTTGCTTGACGCTTTGGCCGATAACGAGAGGGCGTTCGGGTGTGCTTGCCGAATACACTAGGGAGGAGACGAAGCGCTCGTTTGTCATCAAAGTAAATTTCCGCGGGAGCGCAAAAGCAAAGATCGTGTTGTTTCGCGTAATAATTCAGGATGCTGCCGTCTCCTACTTTTCTTGAAATAGTTATTATTATTAATAACGAGGCGACATAAAGAGATTTGCTCCAGGCAAAATACTGTTAGTGAAATATCAGAAACACGTTGCATCGTTCACAGAAATTATAAGAATGTTGAAGTATTAAGTATATTGTAAAAAAATAAATTTTTTTAGAGATTAGAACGTTCTTTTACTTTTGAGCATTGCGGATTGTATGCGATTGCATTATAGTTGTTTATTGAAGAATGCATCTTTGATCCGGACATGCACGAAACGCACAATGCGGAAGAGAAATTTCAATTTGGCACGGAGCATCTCCCGACGAGTAAAAAAGAATTAACATTTCAAACGAAAATCTCTCGCTTTTGAACAATCCAATATTGGCCGGCCGCCAATCAATATCAGCGAAAGGAAGAGAATCGAATTCCGCCCAAGCCATTTCGGCTATTGCATTCCGCCTGTATCGTGCAAATATAAAGCGTCGAGCGTTAGAAGGTGGATGTATCACAGGCGGCGGCGGTTCATTAAAACTGTCAATCAACGTTGACAGTCGCAATCTAGCAGGAATGATGACCTATAAATACCTTAGGAATGCGATCACGTCCATCCGGCTGGAAATGAAGAGGAAATGGCTTACCGATGCTCAGGTAGTATTGGCTGCCCACTTCGTAGGGGTCCCAGTTGATGCCCTTGTAGCGCGTCTTCTCGCGTGCCGTCCCGTAGTCGGGGATGTCTGCGGCTTTGCTCAATCCCGGGCCGTTCGGATCGCCACTCTTCGCGAAGTTACTAAGGAAATTTAGGGCCGCCTCCGCCACCCCCATATCCTGTCTGCTGAAGTTCTGAGGGAAGTTAGGCAACCCACCCACCAGCGGTAAACCTAACAGGTATGTAAGATCTTCGCCGCGCACGCTCCCCAGTCTCTGCAAATATTAGAAGAGACAGATTGAACAAAAGAAAAGAGTAATTGAAAACATTACGTAGTTGTAAAAGTAATTTTGCAGTTGTAATATGTTAATATCTTATTATGATTATTTGTCAAATATCAGCCAACTTAAAACTAATTGGTCAAATGTTAAGTGTTATTTTATTTTGGTTTGGTTGCAAGATGTATAATAAAATGTATTACCTGCGGATAATCGCTCTCTTTGGTTTGGTATCCGAAGTGAAACAGGAATGTTTTGGCTCCGCGCCTCGCGTGCAAATATCCGACTCGGATCAAGGGTGAAACCGTGTGTCCATCGCTCAAAGCTTCCATCGTCGAATCCCTGATGTTAATGGGATGCTGGATGGGTTTATCCCAATCCGTGTACTCGTTCCTAACGGCGCTGAAGATCTCGTTTAGATGGTAAACGTATGCGTTCCTAATATACGTCCTCAAGATCCTATTGCGCTGATCCTCTTCGAAACCGTACTGTATATCGTTGGCATTGAAATCGTTGTAACTTTCAGTGGTCGTCGTCCCTAACAGAAGTTCACACGTGATGAAATTCTCACTCGCGTGTTCCATCGCGTAGGCCGGATCCGGCGTTTCCGGGTCAACCGGAAGTGATGGAGCTATCCGTGGCATGAACCTCACCGACTCCATCTCTATATCCAGTAGCACCTGCAGAGGTCTGAAACATAATTTCATTACTTCTTCATATTCATAACGCGAAGATCGTTAAACGACGGTAAAAATTGCGGAACGGTGGAGCAGACGCAATAAAAAAATGAGAGCTACACTGTAAATCCGAAGATATGAACCATTAATTCCATTTTCTAGCAGTAAATCACAGAATCTTTAAAGAAAACGGGCGTCGCGATAAAAACCGGACGGAAAGGGAAGAAAAAGGAGAAGCAAAAGAAGGGCGGAGAGAAAAATATAGTAGTTTAGTATTCGGTAAACTCGGGTACTGAACCTTCGAGAGCTGCCTCACACTGCCGCCATCTACATCAGCTCACAGGGATTAACTTTTTTGTTTTTGCTTATATTTAGTTTGTTTAGCAACAGTTTCGAAAGTGGGATATACGTTCGAATAAATCACGTCCGGAAATTATTAAACATGCATAAGTGCGAAATAAATTTAACTTCGCCCTTAATACGATGTTTAATAAAATAAAGTATAAAGTTCAACTCGGTACTCGCAAGTCTCCGTTACAAGTATTCCAACCGTACACAAACTTCAGATAATAGTTTCCGTTCTGTGCCTCCACCATTCAAGTTTTCTTACTTCTTCCCTTCAGTTTTGATTGGCTTTCAGGAAACTTGACGGACACTGAATAATTCTCACTAATTATAAAACATATAGTGTTAAATACTCAAATAAATTCGTTTACAGATTAAGCGGAAATTATAAAATAATTTCATAAATGTTTTTAATTTATCTTCAGACATTTGCAATATGAAATTTATTATGATTAAAACATTATATTATAATTGTCAATTTATAGAAAATATTGTATTTGGTGTTTTCTTAGATTAATGTTTGAACAAAAAAAGACCTTGAATTAAAAAGGGACATGAAAATAAATGAAGGGAACGACGTTTTATGATCTGATTACTAAATCGAAATCTCCGACGTTTAAACAATTTATATTTCAGATCCATTTCAGATAAGAATTGATTAACATTTCGAGCGTCGAATGAGAAACGTTAATTTAAATGTACTTTATACTAGAGATGTCGCCTCCTCGTAGTTCGAGTTCAATTGTTTCAAGAGGCGCTTTGCAACAGTATCAACAAACAAAACAAACCGAAACAAAAAAAGTATACAGAGTTTTTCTTGTTTTGGACGTCGGATAGTTTCGTCCGGACAATAATTCATGTCTTGTTTGAGTTTGTAATTTAGTGAACACACTATTATGTAATGCGGTCGGGCGGCGCGCGGCAGCCCGTTTTTCATGCGGCAATTACGGACTTTGCAGGCGCCGCCTCCCGACTGCCGCCCACCCGCCTCTCGGGCCATGGCAAACTTCGAAATGATCGATTACGTGTCGGGACATTATCGACACATTTTCTATATGCGTGGCGGTAGCTGCTGCAACACGAAATTACCCCAGACTCTATTTAATATCGGGCCCAGCACTTAATCACTCACTTCGGGATGAAAAACCGTGCGAAATACCTAAGCCGACGGCTCGCAACGTAATTAAACACATTGCCTGTGAAATTTAATGAACAGGTCTTTAATTACGTAATGATTGATTTGTTTCGTCAACTTCCGCTTAGGCAACACACGATGCGTAAACTTAATATAGGCCACTCTCGCAAACCAAAACGGATCATATTGATGAAGTGAACACATACTATTTTACGTATAGGCAACAATTGTGACTTCATCATTAAACTGTATAGGCAACTTTGGTGGCACAAGCAACTAAGAACAAAGTAATTTCTATTTGCAATAAATATTACGTGTGATATTAGAATTTTGCTAAGTGCAAATGGAGCGAACTGCAAAAGAAGTGAAACTGACACGGGTAGCTGATTTGCAGCTTCCTAATAATAATTGTCAAAGTTCGAGTGGTCGAGCGGATCCAGGTCCGAACTCTCCGGGCTAAATTTAATTGGATCTGCGCCAACCGAAACCAAAACCAATTGGACGAAATTCACCCGCCAACTCTGCCGCTGCCGCCACCCCTCATCGCGAATAATTAAATTATACTTTCGTAATCGAATTTCCCGTACGCCCGAGGCAACTGTCAAAAGTCCAGAAGAAGAGAAAAATACGAAAACCAGATAACAGTAAAATTTAATCAAGTGATCAAATACTTTATTCATTGACGGGTTTCAATTTCGGTTATTTCTTAATTACTTAAATAACTTCAGTATGAAAAAAAAATGACAAAAGGAAAACATAGAAATATTTTTTTATCACATTTTGATTACAATAACTACATAACATTTGTATTATTTTGAATGATATTGTATTCGTCAATATGAGTGGATTTTTTATAATGTATTTTCGTTGCAATTTAGAAATTATTCTATATACAGTGGAACCTCGCTTAAATAATTTTGCTCGTTAAACGAAATGCTCCTTATGCGAGGTGCTCGTAAAGCGAGGTTCCAATATATACTTTTGTTGATTCCAAATATTTAGTTTGTTGGGTAATTATTCCAAGAAATGATTTAAGTCCTAAGGAAAGTGGGGAGGGTTACATTTTGTAACCGTCATAAAGAAATAGTGATGTTCCTTCATTTGATTTCACAAGCCTTCATTGAAGTGTATCTAGAAAAAATAGGAGTCATACAAAATGGATAAGAAACGTAGGAGTTAAAACTATGACGACGATTCGAGTGTTAAAGTTTCTGTATCGGAAACGTGCGATGACAGCGGAATTTCCCATTCGCCAATAGCCGCCAGCTCCCCCAGGACACCGACTGATTACAGATTTTATCCAAAATCACCTGAACCAAACTTAAGACTATTCGCGGACGTTCCTACGACACCGAAAAGTTCAAATAACCATACGTGCAGAAGAATCAATTTCGACTTGCCAGAAGGCAATCAAATAAGGAAAACTAGGACTATCTGCAAGAAAAGGATCGTTCAAAAAGAAAAAGTACACACACGGTACAAAATTAAGCACTACTTGGTTACCGACTCTCCCTCAACGACGCCCGAAGAGACTTCAAAGAATATAAATCATTACAAAAAGGTCACAACTGTCCAGACGAAGCTGGAAATAATGAATAAGATGTTGAAACACCTCACAGAGGTGGAAATAGTACTGGTGTCGAAGAAAATATAATTTATTTTATTAATGTTTATGTGTTATATATGTATGCATGTCTTTATTTTAAAATATATTGTATATATTATTTATTGAATATAACTGAACAAATATTTAAGAACAAGAAACTTTTTTTTATTTCTAATTTTCAAAAACGGTATGAGTACTTAGAACAGTGATTCCCAAAGTGGTCTATATCGACCCCCAGGGGTCTATGACAACCTGCAAGGGGTCTAAATCAGCGAAAAAAAAAATTTTGGGGTCCATGAAATGAAAATGGGGGTCTACGATAGTGGATCTCAACATACACTGATAGCACCTTTTTACATATATTATACTATCTTATAATATAAAGGCATAAACATTATTTAAAAAAGTACCTATGAAGTAAAAAAACTGTTATATATGTCTATAAAATAGTGTAAGTTGTAGGATGTAGGCATTCGCTTTGTGCTCGCAATACATTTTGAACTTGTAAAAACCTGCACATAATGATATACCAGTGTCATCTTGTTACAAGCATACGCGCAGTCTCAGAGCAAAGATCTTAATAATTATAAAGATGTCCCAATATAAATAATAAATTTACAAAAAATCAATTTCAGGTAAGTAGGGGGTCTACCCAAAACTGAAAAACATAGCAAGGGGTCTACGACACAAAAAAGTTTGGGAACCTCTGACTTAGAAGAACTATACTTTCGTTGATTCCAAATATCTAGTTCGTGGGGTAAATCTTCCAAGAAGGGAGTTTTATGATGATGTGGAAGCTGCGCATTTAAACTGTTAACTAATACCATTGTCTTTATTTTAAAATATATTGCACCTTACAAATTGCACGCTACAACAGAATACTGAAAGTTTTCCGACACCAAACAGCAACACCTCTTTTTTAATTCTTTATTTTCCTTTGGATTTTTCCTTAACTGAAAAGAAAACAGTTTTTATATATCTTTGACATTGTAATGACCTTTTAATGTACAATATTTACAGAAAACTTGGGAAATATTTACAAATGCTTTAGAACGGATTAATTTTGAATTTTTATTTTTGCTTTGGGAGTGCTTTATTGCTTTATATTTCAATCCAAAAGTTAAAAGAAGGTAACTCTGTAAATTCTCTTGAAACTGAATATAAAACGGTTAACCAGGTAGTATTAACATCTGTTTCCTAAAATAAGGGATGTTTTACGATGTATGTAATATAAAGCAACGAAATTTCAACATAAATTGAACTGCAAAACCATCTACAGCAACAGTTGAATTTGAGATGTCTTCAAGTGCAGTAAGCGTAGAAATTCCTTCGATGGACGATAGCCCGAAAACTCCTAATCAAAAGCGTTACCCAGCGGTCGGACGTCTTCTTCGACGAAATATCATATCACAACCCAGCACACCAAGGAGGTACCTTAACCACATTAGACGCAAACGCATCAATTTTGATATAACCGAAAATGATCCTGTCGTCTCATACGAAGAAGATGCTAAGAACTTCGCAGAGACACAAAGCGTAACCAGTAAACGAAAGCGGCGTGAATTTCTCACACCTCCGAGAAGGAGACTGTTCAAAAGGCGTCTACACATAGTTTACGAAGATTCCAATTCTCCGCAATGGGAAGGCGAATTTCAGAGCCCGGCTTCCGATGACGATTCTGAAGTCGATTCTCCACCGATCGACGGTCCAAGATCAACCATCTTATACACTGATACGTCCGATTATAATTCTTTAAACTCATCAAATTGTTCTTTTGATGAGTTATATAGTTTAAATAACAATAGAGCAAAACGCGCCAAGGTGGAAGAAATTGACGAAGAAGCAAACAGTGAAGTTAAAAATAGGATGGATGTCGTCAATGATATTAATGAGATGATGTGGAAGATGCGCATGTAAAATGTTAACTAATAGCATTGTCTTTATTTTAAAATATATTGTATATATTAT